AGTGGCTCCCCGAAGGACACGCCTGGGGACGGTAAGAGGTGGGGCAGGGGGTGCCGGGAAGGAGGGTGGGCACAGTCTGTGGCCTCGATGTCCCCTTTGCACAGCAAATATCAGGAGCAGGGCCACCTCCTCTGGTCCCCACCGAAGCTGGGGGATGTCCCACTGCCTGTCCCTGACCCCTGCGCTCCCCCCAGGCACCGTCCTGCTCCCAGCTCTAAGGATGCACAGGCTGCTCCTGCTTGGCTGCTTCTGGCTCCTGACAGCACCCAGAGTGTCCAGCATCTTCCAGAGGCCGACTGGGAGCCCAGGTAGGGAGCAGGGACTGGGGGAAGAATGGGGAGCCCAGGCAGGGAGCAGGGCCTGGGAGGAGGACAGAGGAACCCATTTAGGGAGCAGGACCTGAGGGGCACTGCTGTTTGGGGTCAGTGCTGGAGGACAGAGACGATGCTGGGGGGTGGCCAGCTGGGGCAGGGGCTGAGCTGGGCTGCCAGAGGATGCAGGAGAGGGGAAGAGGAGCCAGGAGAGAAACCACCAAATGCCCCCTGAGGGTCGAGGGGCGCTCGGGCAGGTGCTGGAGGGGCGGTGGGGCCTCAGCAACGCTCTGTGGTGACCCTGTGCTGAGGCAGCCCGGGGGTGCCACAGCCCCCCCACGCCTGCAGTACCTGCTGGAGCCCCTCCACTCCACGGTGCACACCCAGCGCGGGGCCACGGCCACCCTGCCCTGCGTGCTGCGCGCCCTGCCCCGCAACTACCGCGTGAAGTGGAGCAAGGTGGAACCGGCCAACTACGGGGAGAGCATCATCATCATCACCAACGGGCTGTACCACAAGAACTACGGGCCGCTGAGCCCGCGGGTGCGGCTGCGGCACAGCCACCGCTACGACGCCTCGCTCACCATCACCGACGTGGCTCTGGAGGACGAGGGGCGCTACCGCTGCCAGCTGGTCAACGGGCTGGACGATGAGAGCGTCTCGCTCACGCTGCACCTCGAAGGTGAGGCTGGACTCCCCCCACCCTGGGAGATGCAGCAGGAGACTGCTCTGGACTCTGGGCTGGACTGGAGGTCTGGTGGGTTCAGCCCCTGTGTGGGCCAATTTGCTTGAGAGTTGGGCTCGATGATCCCTGTGGGTCCCTTCCGACTCAGAACGTTCTGTAACTCCTGTCTGCTGTAACTCCTGTCTGTGGCTGGCTGCCTCCAGCCCTTGTTGCACCACCTCAGCCTCACCTTCAGCGCTGAATCGCTAGGGATGATAAGTCAAAGCCCCCTCAGGGAGAGCATCTCCCTCACCCTGTCCCTGCCCCTCCAGGCGTCGTCTTCCCTTACCAACCCAGCAATGGGCGCTACAAATTCAACTACCACGAAGCCAAGCGAGCCTGCGAGCAGCAGGACTCGCGCCTCGCCACCTACCAGCAGCTGTACAAAGGTGAAGCACCCAGAAAAAAGACCCCTCTTCAGCCCAAAAACACACCTGGCTGGACATGGGGAGGAGGGAAGTGCTGGTGATGAGCTACCTCTTGCCCCACAGCCTGGACAGAGGGTCTGGACTGGTGCAACGCTGGCTGGATCCTCGAGGGGACCGTCCACTACCCCATCATCAACTCGCGGGAGCCTTGCGGTGGCCGCCTCCTCCTGCCTGGTGTCCGGACCTACGGGGCCAAGGACAAGCAGAAGGACCGATTTGATGCTTTCTGCTTTACCTCTGCTCTTCAAGGTAGTGCTGGCGTACCCTGTCCCTCCCACAGAGCCCTGATGATGTCCCCCAAAATTTGTGCCGGGCCTGGGGGGTTGTTCCTGGGGCACCGTGGGGGCTGCTCACCCGCAGTGTCCCCATCCATCCATCCATCCATCCATCCATCCATCCATCCACCCATCCACCCATCCATCCATCCATCCATCCATCCATTCATCCATCCATCCATCCACCCATCCACCCACCCATCCATCCATCCATCCCCAAGGCCAGGTCTACTTCATCCGGGGCCACCTGAACTTCAAGGAGGCCGGGCAGGCATGTCGCAACCACGGGGCCGCCATGGCCAAGGTGGGGCAGCTCTACTCGGCCTGGAAGTTCTCCCAGCTGGATCGCTGCGATGGGGGGTGGCTGGCGGACGGCAGTGTGAGGTACCCCATCACCACGCCCCGCCAGCGCTGCGGGGGGCTGCCCGACCCCGGCGTCCGCAGCTTCGGCTTCCCCAGCAAGGAGATGAGGACCTACGGCACCTACTGCTTCGTGGGGAAGTAGGTGGCTGGGCTGGGCAGAGGGGGTGGCAGGGGGACACCAGCCCTCGTTGCCCCAGCAGAGTTTGGGGTGGGGTATGAGGGGGTGGGTGGTCCCGCAGCGATTTTGGGTGGTTCACGTGTCAGCTGGTGAAGAAGCAGAGCTGGATTTCGGTGCTCAGAGCGTGTTCTCGTGGAGCTGCTCCCCACGCCCCAGCGTGCTGCTGGGCTTGTGGGCTGTTCGAGGCTTGCTGGAGAAGACAGACCCGTTGATGGGCCAGGAAGGGGGTCTAATCCAGCCCCCCCCTTCCCCAGCTCTCATGAATCCCTCACCCCATCCTCACTCCCCGCAGTTATGAGGACTCTCCCTGGTGTGAGCACAGAGGACTTGGGCTGGGCATTAACGAGCGTGACTAATGGCGTGTCGCCTTCTCAATTAATAAAGCAACGGCAAAGCTGCACAGCAAAGCCACATTCCCGCCTGGCTCCTTCCCCTGGGGCCACCTGGCCCCTCCACCAGGGGAATTTGACAGGGACTTTCCATCCCTGATGCCCTGTCCGGGGGTTATCTGTGTTCCGGGCTCGGGGGGTTTCCGGGTGTTGCTGTTTGATACAGCCCAGGAGGGCTATAAAAAGCTGTGGAACTGGCACAGTGCAGGGGGATTAACGGCGTGGGGAGATGTTGGCATGGCCTGGTACCTGTCTCGTGGGTTTGCTGGTAGCAACATCCCCATCCAAGCCCTGACCAGTGCCCAGTGTCACCAGAATGTGGGGGCACTTTGATCTGTGTGCCCAGGCTCTCAGCTTGCTGAAGGACTCTGACATGGTCTCTATTTTGGGGCTGTACAGCCCTGCCTGTCCCACCCCTGTGCCTGGACCCCCCACACCAAATGACCAGGCCACCACTCTGCACCATCCGTTTACTGGTTTTAATACCCACAGGAGCACAGAGAAGGGGTTTGGGCAACACGTACACAACTCCAAGCCTGCAGCAGTGACTTCTGCCTTTCCTGGGAAGCGCAGAAGCAGCCCCACACCCCAGGATGGTGCTGAGCTGCAGCAGAGCTTGGATGTCCCCATGCCACCCCCCACCAGGGTGTCACAGGATGAGAACCCTTGGGGCAGAGGTGGGAGAAAAGCGGCTGAAGGTGACACTGGCGTGTCACTGCCACCCCCTGCCCGTCGTGTCCCCCTTGATTTCCACTCTGTCCTGACTCCGGGAACGAAACTCTCGTTGTGCCACACTTCGGGTCCCTGTCGGTTCCTTTCGAGGGGGGTCTTGAGTTATTGGGATTTCTTTGTACAGATATAAAACAAACTTGGAGGCAGACGCCCAGCAGTGAGGTTTCGTCCCACGCCGGTGTCCCAGTGCCGTCCCCATCCATGCGAGCTCCCGGGCCAGGGACTCATTCAGTCGTCACGGGGCTGAGCCAGACCTGGGGGTGGGGGTGGGGGGGGACACAAAAAGACTCAGGTGAAGGGAAAGCCGGGTGGGCAGACGCTTGGAGAACTCAGGGTGGGGGTCCTGGATCTCACCGGGGCGACAGGCCAGCTGGGGGGGCTCCCAGGTGCCGTCCTCGCGGCAGCGGATGACGGGCGAGCGGCGCGGGACGAGGCCGTGCCGGCACTGATACCGCGCGATGGAGCCGATCTCGTAGCGCTGCTTTGGTTTGCCAAAGGCGCGGGCGTTGGTGAGGGCGGGGGGGGGCCCACACTGCACTGCAAAGTGTGTGTGGGGGGATGGGGATGTCATTGCAGCCAGCACGGAGAGACCCTCAACTCCCCACCTCAGCCTGGAGGTAAAAACTCTGCCCCATAAACCCCGAACGGGTCCGCACGCAGGATATGTTTCCCTGCTGTGGGGAGGGTGGGGAACCGCCTCTTTGGGGGTTGCAGAGCCCCAGCCCGGGGGTGTGGGGAGAGGCACGGCTTACCCAGCCCCATTTTGCAGGTGTAGGAGAGGTGGTAGTTGCAGGGCACGTCGCTCCACTGGCCCCCGTCGTGCCACACGATGACCACGCAGTTCTCGCCAGAGAGGAAGTAGCTGTCGGGCTGCCCCGGGTGCCAATTCTCGTAGAGCTGGGGGGGACAGGCATGGCAGGGTGCACGGGGCACCCCAGCGCACCCTCTAAGTGTGTGTGTGGGGTGCCTGTGCCAGCACACACCCGTCTGCAGCCTCCTGGCTGTGACATCCCCACCAGGAACGAGGTGACACCTCCACGCCCCTTGGCGTGGCCTCGGCACCCCAAATCCCGGGGTCTGGCTCCCCTGAGGATTCTCAGCCCTGCTGAGGGGTTTCAAATCCTGGCCCCAGGGTTGGACCCCAGTGCAGGAGAAGGGTGACAAGCTGCC